GGGATGGACACCAGAAGGTCGAAGAGCAAGAGGGAGGCCAAAGACAACTTGGAGAAGGACGGTGGAGAAGCAAAGAAACAAGGCGGGGTGGAAGAGCTGGGAAGTAGCCAAAGCGGTGGCACGGGACAGGGAGTGTTGGTCGGAAAGCGTGACGGCCTTGTGCACTTACTGGCGCGACGAGAAATGATGATGATATTATGGGATTCCCAGGGGGCAAAGACGCGAAAGATTCGCGTGACGGGATAAGTCTACAGCGCTGATAAGTATACAGCCTGCATACGTTATGAATTTGTATTCCTCAATAAAGCGTTATGGGTCATCAACCACATAAAAGCAAGAAGAACTGTTTACAAAAGAGAAGCGGAATGTGTTGAACGTTGAGAGAGATCGTGGTATTGTTATCACCAGTGATACTTGACTTACAGTAAAACTTGTATTAAGCGGACCCCACAGACAACCCTATTAAACGTAAGTGGACACCAGCTTGAGTCCCTAAATTTTCTTCCTAAATTTACTGTAAATTAAACCCGCACTCAGCGGACACCTCTGTTAAGCGGACGCGAACACCGATATTAAGCCAATTTCTTGCACAAAAACTTCTAATAAGCGGACACTTCAATGGCTTTTTACTAAAAGTTCAAATCAAAACCTTTAACATTGTTCAGCGATGCCGTTTTAAAGCTAAGTAGATTATTCCAAATTGATGCATTGACTGACTGGACGTTGTGCCATGGTGACCAATCTTTGAACTTACATTGTGTTACACTGTGTTACAAAAAAATGATGACGATGATGATTTGTCCCTTAGCTCCGGGTGGAGCATAGGCCACTGACCACTTCCATTCTCCGTCGGCTTCTGTCCTGGGCAAGCCTTCCTAGTGTGTTCCAGGAGTGACTCCACTTACTCATTCCAGACTCCACCCCCCTTCTCCAGGAGTTTCTTGGGCAACCCCTCTTCCTCTTGCCCTGAGGGTTCCATCGTAGTGCCCGTCGAGTGATGCTGCTAGCAGGTTTCCTTAAAGTGTCTATACGGCCAACAGGGTTTTTGTAGTTTTGGTATCGCTATAATGCGTAGAAAGGTATTCTCAGAAAAAAAATTGGATTCCGAGATTTTAACGCCCTAACATCTAGCTTTAAAGTTCCTGCTTCAGCTACGCCCAATGAAGTTGACCGTGAGTCAGTGCAAAAAAAGGGTCTGGGTTTCTGCATGGGTCGTGACGTCAAGTCAGGAATTGCCAAATCGTGTTAGCTCAGGTCACTCTTGTTTTAGTAGTGGGTAAGGGTTTTCGTCGACAAAAAACAAACAAATCGAAGTTGGTGAAACAATGCGATCGTCAAGCAAGCAAATTACAAACATGAAGCTTTGAGATGATCCTGAAGTGACGTCATTCATCACCAATCTTTCATTACGCGGTCAACTTCATTGGGCGTGGCCGAAGAGGGAAATTTAAAGCGTGATTTCATGGCAAAAAAAACCATCGGAATTCATTTTTGGTTTGAATACATTTTTAGATGTTATAGAGATACCAAAACCACAAAAAACCCTGTAGGCCGTATGGACACTTTAAGGTGGGATCTATCAAATAACTTCTGGAATCCGAGCGCATAAAGCAGGTGTCCTATAAACCAATTTTTACAAACCATTGTCGGTTTCTATTCAGCCTAATGAAAAGAAAAGGTTAATTCTTGATTTAAGGACGTTCGCGTTAATCGTTTCTGCGCATCCTTACTGCGCACGCAAATTCACATGCCACGTCATGCATAAGCGCGCGCTAAGTAATAAATAATGGTAATTGAACTGAGTGGAGTGCAATTTGTATAGGTAATCATACGGTTTCGAGTTCAATTTGGAATTAATTTGCACGAGTGTGTTTTTCAAATAGTTGGAATTGCACGAGCCGATTCGGCGAGTGTAATTTCAGCTTTTTGAAAAACTCACAAGTGCAAATTAACTCCAAATTGAACTCAAAACCGTATGATTACCTATACAAATTATATAAACATGAAAAAATTCGCGCGGAGGAAGGGCCGGAAGACCTTTCTTGAAGCCATTTTTCTCATTTGAGAAAACTTTTTTCAAAGTTTCAGCACAAAATTTTCGTTATCGTTTTACGTGATATCATTTTCTTAGAAAAGTTCCTATTGTCTTTCAGTCAATCATAATCCCGAATTTCGATGTGTAATTTCCACTGGTGTTACACTTTTTGCACTGGTGTTACACTTAAACCGTACTGCTCTTGGCCAATCAGAATCGAGTAATTTTTTCATGTGTCTGAAATCATACGAGTGATTTCAAAATCGAACGAGCTCGAAGCGCGAGTTCGATTTGAAATCACAGACCAAACTTGCACGACACGAAATTCAATTGCCACTTTATTAGATCCATTTTGAAATCGCACGATTTTATCGCCTTAAATTTTAGATTCTTGGTCCCAGTACCCATGTTTTGTTCAAAAAAGTGGAACCGGAAACGCCTTTACGTCTCATTTATTATGCAAAACGATGTCAAGTGACGAAAACTCATTCGAGCATGACAAAGAAACAAGCAGCTCTGAAATCATATTTCAAAGATGGCGGGACTGGCACCGGCTTCGTAAGACGTTTGTTCATTCACTGTTTTGTGCAGTGAGGCGTATTTTGACTATGTTTATTCACAGCGACAGAGTTGAGCTATTTTGTTGCTTCGTTGGAAACTACCGCAAACCTGGAAACACCTACCTTCTTGAGATGGCTCTGAATTTGTTGTTGTGTGGTTTTCGTTTGTATATGTTGTACTGTACTCGGTATCATACATATCTTGAGCAGATGTTGAAGAAAAATCGCCAAAATATACGTCAAAATGGGCACTGAAAGTTGGAAACTTCCATTAAAGCAGGTCTTCTGCTTGAAGGAGCTCATAATCGTCATTCAGAAACTGTCATTAATTAAATTCGTCAATTTTTTTTGGAGAAAACTACAATAACGACAAAGTTTTGGCAATAGTAGTTGCAAAATTCTCCACACAATGGCTTTTTGCCTTTCATTTTCCCCAAATTTTATTGATTACTTTAAACTTATCTTGAGATCTGATTTGTTGTTTTGTTTTACTGTCCCATTTTCATTGGCTGAGAAAAAGATGCGATTTAGTGCAAAAAATAGTGCGATTCGCGAATAAATCGCACCACTGAGAGCCAATCAGATTGCAAGGTTAACCAGTGATTTCAAAATGGATTTAATAAAATGAACAATGATAGAGCAGATAGCCATTGCTACAGCTTTGCCTGGATTTAACGATCTTGGACGTTCGTTCTTGGATGGTTAAATGTTTTCGTTTGAGTGGATATCATCATGTTGAGACCTTCCAACCACATCAAACATTCTTAGGTTTTTCATGGAACTTTCACGGCGAGACGTGTTTTTACATTTTCACGATTCTTCCTTTCGGCCTTTGTGTAGCTCCTTATATCTTTACCAAAATACTCCGCCCCTTGGTCGGATGGCGAAGAGCTAACGGCATGTTTGAACTCCATATTTATTCTTCGAGCACATGTTTCTACAACCCCTATAGGGGGGTACAACAATTCGTGCAACGTCACATCCGCGTTACAAAACAATACAAAACGACTTATCTAGAATGTTGGGCTTGTCACGCAATGTCACGTCCGATCTCTAGTACAAAACGGCTAGTCTAGAAAGTTCAGCTTTCAACATCCTCCACCTCGNCTACAACCCCTATAGGGGGGTACAACAATTCGTGCAACGTCACATCCGGGTTACAAAACAATACAAAACGACTTATCTAGAATGTTCGGCTTGTCACGCAATGTCACGTCCGATCTCTAGTACAAAACGGCTAGTCTAGAAAGTTCAGCTTTCAACAATACATGGTTAATAATTACGAAGCAACTAACCGCAAATATTACTCGAGTCCTTTAATTAAAAGCTCTTATTGATTTAATGGTTTCAGTTTGTTTCTTTGTTTTTTTGGTTTTAATTTCAGCTTTGTGAATGTAAATAGTACTGGTCTTTCAGTGTTGTCACCGCGCATTTTCCATGGAGAACCCCTGATACGTTTGAACGGTAGCTTCTGTGGTCATCAGAGCGCTTATAACTCTCCCATCCTACCCCTTCCCTTCCGTGCAAATTTGTTTGAAAATTTGCACACGAGCTCAGCTCAAAGCTGCTCACAAGTTAAACCTGAACTCGGATGCGGATAAACGATTCCAACAACTATAATTTTTTTTCAAAATTATTTTAGCGCTTTCGTTACTGTTGCAAGGGGTTCGACAAGAAACACAGGTATAATTTATTAAAATTATTTCTACAGATTGCTCAGAACTGCTCAAATCAGGCTATACACAGAGTGGAGAGTACCTTGTCGACCCAAACGGTAAAGGACAATTTAAGGTCTATTGTGACATGCGCACTGACGGTGGAGGTTGGACTGTGTTTCACAGAAGACAGGATGGCTGGGTAGACTTCTATCGTGGATGGAATGATTACAAAGCAGGCTTTGGCCAGGTGTCTGGCGAGTTTTGGCTTGGGAATGACAAGATTCACAGGCTGACAGCCTCTAGACCCAGTACCTTAAGAATGGAGTTAGAGGACTGGAACGGAGTTAGAGTTATGCCAGATACGGCAGGTTCAGTATTGGTGACGACCAAGCGCAGTATCGACTTGCAGTGGGTTCATATTCAGGAACAGCAAAAGATTCGTTTGGATATCATAACAACATGCCTTTTACTACAAAAGACAGAGATAATGACAGAGATAACTCTCAGAATTGTGCAGTTAAATGTACTGGCGCCTGGTGGTACCAAGATTGCCAGTACTCTAATCTAAATGGACAATACTTGGGAGAAAAACAAAATTGGCAAGGTGTCATATGGTATCACTTTGGAAGGGATCTTTCACTTAAATTCGCTGAGATGAAGATGCGGCCGCTATCATAGAAATAATTATTGTCAGAAGGGCGATCGTTGCTAACGTTGATGTTTACATGTCACCAAACAAAAGGTTTAATGAGCAAAACAATAGCTGTGCAAGTGCGTTATAATTTTTTTTTTAAATTTTAAAGCTTTGCCCATTGAAGGATTCCTTGTTTGCTTGCCTCTGTAAGGATTCCCTGTTTTCAAGATCCTTTCGGAAGCTCTCGAAAACGACAACCTCGGATGTTTGAAGAAAGTTATTTTAACTAAGGAGAGGTAACAGTTGTTTTCCTAAAGAGATTCCAACATTCTATCACATCACATCTTTTTGGGAGTAGTGGATAGTTTTAATGCAGTGCTGCATGATTGTGACAGTGTGTCACGGACAGCTGCACAAGAGTAAACAAACAAATAAACATTGAAAAGCTAGAAAGTGATCGGGGCATACAGGCGCGTATACAGGCAGGGGTATACAGGCGCGTTTTTAAATTGTCTAATTTTACTGTGGATTTAAACGGTATTTCTTGACAGAAGCCTCTGACTGACAGGGAGCTGGTAGCATAAAGAGAGCTGAGTTAAAAATAAAGAATTTCATATATAGCTTTGTCAAAGCAGGTGCAGCTTTCTTGTGAGCTTTAATGATGACATATGACGACACCGTTGACGAGATAAACTTTAATTTTAATTTTATCTTATTCGTTGTATTTTTTATATATAAATATATGATGATATTTTAGTTTTTATCAGAGTTAATTGTACATATTTTTACCATTTTAATGTAGATTGATAGTTTTTATTGTCATCATTTTTATTACAATTTTTGAAATTTTAATTGAAAAGCCCCAGTGGGAAGGTTTGATAACGTACAAATGTATATGCATATGTAATTAAAAGATGTGAACCTCTTTGGTAACAATGTCCAAATACAATCACTTAAATAGTAGTGCTTAGTGCGGTTCACGAAAGAACGGCAAAATTCCACCTGAAATCAATCAGACAATATGCAGCATATGCCTTGGGTAGAAATTAAAAGCTAATGTTGCACTCATTTCATGTGATTGCCTCCATCGCCATATTTAACTGTCGCGGACGAGTCAAGTAGTTGTTAATTCAGTTTGTTTAAGGTTTTTTTTTTTGTTTTGTTTTTTCTTGCAAAAATATAAAATACTCAAACTAAACAAACTCTCTTGTGTTTTATTGATTTTAAAGAGGAGTTATTGAAGCAAGTCTTTCCCTGCGAATAATAGTATCTGCATTAAAATTAAGCCTGGATGTATTAACTATTTCCATGAGTAATCCAATATACCCAAACTGGTTGATATCTTTCCAAAACAGGGTTATAAATTATGAGTATATGGTTTAGCCTAAAATCGTTCTCTTTTTTTTTTTTTTTCTGCCATGCAGATATACAGATACAGATGGATAACAAAAAAAACAAAAACAGCGAAGTTGTTTCGTCTCAATGTCATTCACTTATAGAAAGCGTTTTTGAGTTTAGCAACGATCGACAAAATGTGGTTAACAAAATCCAAATAAATAAATTTACTTCAATGTGTTAATGGTTTTAAATAAATTAAGATTCACAATTTGATCAAAACTAAGTTAATCCTAATTGCGTCTTATAAAAAAAGAAAAAAGAAAGGATAAAGAAAAGCAGTTTTTTTTCAAACGATTTTATGAAAAAATCAGTTGTGTTAACGTTAATTTTATAATAGCAAGAAATAAATTCGAATGATATATCAAGCTATTACAGAATGTCAAAACGGACGTGAGCTATGAGTGATTTAATAATAGATAATGTTTGTCTTTTCGCTTTGCTCAGTAACTCTGAAATGTATATTCTCCCAAAGTATTCATGTCTTTTTGTTTTATAAGAAAAAATAGTCAGGAACATGCATCTCATTCCTACTGGAAAAATATAGTTTTCTTTAGCGACTCCATCGTTAAACCAGGAAAACCACTCAAATTAACCAAGCTAAAATAATTGAGCCTTTTGCCTTGAGTGTCCCTAATGGCCTGTCAACTTATCCTACGCATATGTTACACTGTATTTCGCAATCGCTGCCCTTAAAAAACAAGTGCGTATATGACACATTGTGTTATTTTCCTATATGACAGGAGTCTAGCAGTGGCCAGCCGAAATATTGTATTAAAGCAACTGAGTTAAATTCTATGTTGTGCTGGCTTTGCTATTTTGTTTTGTTTTGCTTTGTTTTGTTTTTCTTTTCAATATTTCCTCTGAAAATTGTATAGCTTCTTATAAGAAATATCCGTCACCTTATACCCGGCCAGATCTGTCTAATTGCGTATGTAATATTACATGGTAAATAGAACCTTACGTCAGTCACTGTGAAGAATTACTGACAGCCTGTTAGCTATAAGATTGACAGAGCTCCATAGTCACGTATCCAGAGGCAAAGAAGCGCGGGAGAAAAGCATCACTCCTTAAACCAAGAAGATACAACAGACCTGCAATAATGGCCACTTTCTGCCCAACACAGTTGGTGATTGTTGCTCTCAACATTTTCCTCGTTGTGATATTTGTTGTGGCTAACAAGGACTTCTGTGGTAGTGTTTTTGAAACTCAACTCGGTAAGTAAACTCATAGCAACTAGAGTGGACATTGGAAGTTTTGTTCAGATCTCTTCGCAGGATATTTTACATCAATGAAACTTTCATTTTTCTGTTGTTTTCAGACCACGCTTTAGTTGGTCACGTCATGAGGACGGCTGTAGTTGTGGACGAGTTTGAATGTCAGTTGAAATGCATTGG